ATGGAGTGCACCGTGGACTCTGCGCTAGAAGGCTGGTTGACCTCCACGGCCGAAAAGGCGTGGAAAAGACTGCCCGTGGATTCGGCGCCGCGGCTCAAGTTGCCCAGGGCCCGGATCTGCGGGTAGTACACGCCCTGCGCTAGGCCGTTCACGGTCAAGTCCACGTAGATATGCTGGTCGCTGACGGCCACGATGCGTGCCAAGCCCTTGACGGGATGTTCCCTGTCGCTTTCATCAAAGGTCTCTAGAATACACACTGCCGCCGAGTTTGGTTTGCCTGTGCCGCGGATGATGGCGTCCTTGCCGGTTTCCTGGATGGCCTTGACTATGGCGGATGGCGAGACCTGGCCGACGGCGGTGACGGTCTCGGTTTTCAAGTCGGCCTTGAATCCGTGGAGGGGCAATTGGCGGAGCGCCGCCTCCACGGACTCCACACACGCCTGGCACTCCATGGGGACGTTGAAGACGGTTTCGAAAGTCTGGTCCGAGGTCATGGTGGTCGAGGCGAGGCAAGAGAGGATATGTTTTGGGTGGATCTGTTTGAGTAGATCTGTTTGAGTAGATCTGCTTTGAGTGAATTAGTTTTGAGTAGAACTGTTTGACTGGATCTGGTATGAGTCGATTTGCTCCAAGTATATCTGTTTGGGTGGATCTGTGTTGAGTAGACTTATGTAGGTTTGGGTATGTCGGTTTTGAGTGGATCTGCTTTGAACAGACTTGCTGTGAATAACTGCTTCAGATATGGTTCAGAAACTCGGCAAAAAAAGACCAGGTATGGATATCGCATAGAGACCTGGGTGGGCTGGTGGCTTACGTTATATGCTCTTGGGTTAATGCAGTCCGAGTGTTTATTTCCAAGATCACGGAAAAGCGGCTGGGTTTGGTTTGAGGAGTTTGGCACGGAAATGCCAGGGTGGGCTGTGTTAATCGACGGCAGACTTTCATGCTTCTGCGGCGCCAGGAATGACTGACGAGTGAGTATGGTGGATTGGGCCGACGGTTCGTTTCTTTGGTCGCCCCGTTTAGTTTTTTTTGGGCCAATAAAGAGGAATAGAAAGAAATAAAAAGAGGAGTAAACAGCAGGTACAAACAAGACCAATTAAGAAGACCGACGAAGAAAATCAATAGAGAAGGCCAATTAAGAAGACCAAATAAGAAGACCAAAAGAGAAGGCCAATAGAGAAAACCAATCAAGAAAGCCAATTAAGAAGGCCAATAGAGAAAACCAATTAAGAAAGCCAATTAAGAAGACCAATAGAGAAGGCCAATTAAGAAGACCGACGAAGAAAACCAATAGAGAAGGCCAATCAAGAAGACCAATAAACAAGACCAATTCAGAAAGCCAATGACCAAAACAAACGTCGCTGCCTTCTCAAATAATGTATGGCCACAGGCCCTCAGAAGAACATTTCCTATGGGACCATGAAGTTTAGCTAATACTATCCAAGTGGTTGGCACTGGTTATGGGCAGAAGTCTTTTTACATCCTCCGTGAATTCGTGCCCGCACCTTATCACCTGAGCGAATGTTGCGATCTATCATAGATGATTTCCTTTTAGTTTTTGGTAAGTGGCGGGATTTTACATCCCTTAGTGACACCCATTTCCATATTTTTCAAGAAAATGCAAGACCAATAAACAATTAAATGCGTAGTGTAAATACAAAATATGAATTGATTTTATGTTGTGCGACTATACATCACGGAAATGCTGGGAATTGCAAATACGAGCGTCTCTCGTACTGTTTTTTATATGTGCTTTCTTAACCCGTCAAAGGTTAGTAAAGGGAGCTGGCAGATATAGGGTAAGTCCAAGGAAACCGGCAGCTAAAAAGAGTGTATGGTTTATGTATTGATTAACTAGCCTTTTCAATGGTGGGGCAATTGGACCACGTCACAGCCATATTCATGGAGATTGTACTGCTATGCGTCAGGATGAATAATGACTTGTATCATACACTTCAGGATCATGGACACTCATACTATATATACTTCAGGATCATGAAACTTGGACTTTGGCCGAGATTCTTACTATTCGCACATCAAGGTCAATTAAAATTTATACTATTATACTTCAGGATCATGAAGCCTTGGACTTCGGCCGAGTTCTCTACTATTCGCACATCAACGTCAATCAAAGCTTACATTCGACATACTTGATGAGAATGGAGACGCGCACCCTAGTGAAGATTCGTGGTGCTCATACATCAAGGTCAATAAACACATATATTATATATACTCACGGAAATAGAGACTGCACCTCAGTGAATATTTCTACTGCTCACACGCCAGGATCAATAAACATCAACACTGGCCTCTGCATTGGGCAGCATTTGTAGCGCGCGGCGGGGCGGCGGCACCAATTTGCGCAGGCCCAATTTCCCTGGGTTCGAGGGGCCACACGCTGGGCGTACCTTGTTCTTCCTGCTTGTTTTCACCAAAACGGACGTCACTGCTTGCTGCATTCCGAAGTCCCGAATGAGCGTTTTGCCGTCTGTTTGTGTATTTTTTCCCAAGGGTCGTCTGAGCAGCGTCGCAATCAATTGCGGCGCCGGGAGCCCGTCTCTCCAATTCACCAAGAACACGAGCACGAGCACAGCAGCACCCAAGCAAACAAAAAAGAAGCAAAAAGACAAAAAGAACCAAAACCGAAACCCGCCCAAAACATACCCAAAACATACCCAAACCCTACCCAAAACAAACCCAAACCCTACCCAAAACAAACAAAACAAGCCCCCAATAAGAGCCCCGCCTGGCCAAGACGGGCTCGGGCCCCAGGCCTCTGCGGCCGCACACCCGTGCACCCGCGCACCCAGCAACACGTTTTCGCCAACCCCAAGACTCCTCCCAGCACCCAGTTAGCCCAGCGTGAAACACCTGTGCCACGCCACAAACGCCTCTGTTCCGGCCCGTGCCCCATACGTCTCTGCAGCCTGCACACACCCCGCCAGCCTGCCCTTTTCGCCCGCCCCCCAACATGCCGCTAGCACCCCCGCAGCCGCCCAGCAGGGCGCTCGCAGATAAGCAGATCTTCCAGTGGCTTTCGGAGTTGGTGTCCGGCAACAACCGCGAGCGCGCGTTGCTCGAGCTCGGCAAGAAGCGCGAGCAGTACGACGACTTGGCGTTGGTGCTCTGGAACTCGTTTGGCGTGATGAGCGTGCTCCTCGAGGAAATCATCGCCGTGTACCCGTTCTTGAACCCGCCCGTGTTGACGGCGTCCGTGTCCAACCGCGTGTGCAACGCGCTCGCGTTGCTCCAGTGCGTGGCGTCCAACAAGCAGACGCGCGGGCTCTTTTTGAACGCCAACTTGCCGCTTTACTTGTACCCGTTCTTGCTGACCAACGCGCGGCAGCGCTCGTTCGAGTACTTGCGGCTCACCAGCTTGGGCGTGATCGGCGCGCTCGTCAAGAACGACACGCCGGAGGTCATCAACTTCCTCTTGGCCACGGAGATCGTGCCGTTGTGCTTGAACATCATGGAGATCTCGCTGGAGCTCTCCAAAACGGTGGCCATCTTCATCTTGCAGAAGATCCTCTTGGACGACCAGGGCTTGCTGTACATCTGCACCACCTACGAGCGTTTCCACACCGTGGCCCTGGTGCTCTCGAAGATGATCGAGCAGTTGGGCGTGGCGGCGCAGAACGCGCCGCGGCAGCCCGCGGACCCGGCCGCGGGCCCGCCGCCCAGCAGCTCGGGGCGGCTTTTGAAGCACGTGGTGCGCTGCTACATGCGGCTCTCGGACAACTTGGAGGCGCGCAAGGCCTTGTCGACGATCTTGCCGGACCCGTTGCGCGACGGCACGTTTGCCAAGATCTTGCAGGACGACGCGGCCACCAAGCGCTGCTTGGCGCAGCTCTTGCTGAACATCCGCGACCAGTAGCGGCTGTGGTGCCGAGGAGCGCGTGGGGTGGTGCCGTGCCCAGGCCTCGTGAGTGGGAGGGGAGTCCACAGCTCGGGTGTTGTCTGATTTCTCAGTCGGTTGTCATTGTCTGATGTCATTGTCTGACTTCACAGTCTGATTTCACAGTCTGATCTATTTTCAAGAGTGTGTGGCCACGGTTTGGTGCCACAGTGGGCTCTCAATACCTCAGCCAAAGGCACCTTTCCATGTCCTTCAGATTCAAACTCGGCGCCTGGCTAGGTCCTTTTGCCCATCACCTCCAACTCCCAGAGCTCTCCAAAGTCTCCCCGTACTTGGTTGCATCTGGACGCGCAGTTGAATCTACATGGTGAAGGCTGCGGCTTGCGTGTGCGTCTCGGACCCAACTCCGCACCACCCCGGTGCGGCCTCTTCACTCAGACCAGCAAAGGCGGCAGGCAACTGGTGGAACCGGCCGGCTCAGGACTGTTTCTGGCTTGCCACGCAAGTATTGAGCTTTCCGCCTGCAATCCAGGGTGCAAGAGCTCCGTGGAGATCCGGACAGCCCCGCACCTGGCGGCCTCGCATGGCCCACAGATGGCCCTTGCAAACGCCAAAAAGCCACTAGAAAATGGCAGAAGAGCGCCTGCTCAGGGCTCCTGATCCCTCGTGGATCGTGTATACTAATATGAATTTAGCACTATGAATCACGGCACCGCGACGCCATGCCAAGCCACCAAACAACCTGCTTTCGGCTCGCCTACGGCGAATGGCGCCATGCCGCATAAAGCTTTCTATTGTCTCCGCCCTCAGCCAGGCCTAGCTTGCCTACAAGCGACTCGCCAAGCGACAGTGCACTTGTAGACCGGCCACGCGAACAACAAGAGAAAAGAGAAAACAGAATACAGGGCAAAACAAAATACTGGCCAGAGGAACCAAAGGAAACGACACCACAGAGAACACGGCCTAAAACGCAAACAAAAGAAAATACAACGAGAAAGACAAAAACAGACATCGGAACAAACAAAAAGAGACGTCGGAGCAAACACAAAACAAACACCGAAACAGACAAAAAATAACTCTGGCAAATCAGAAACTACACCCCGGCCCGCAACGCCCCAGGGCCCATGCTATCGAAACGGGCCATGCAGAACGAAGCGTGTTCCATCGTGGATTCTTTCCTGCACGTGGCGCGCGGCCAGCCCATATATCTGCACCGATGGGCTCGGACCACTTTGCATTGGTTTTCCATCTTGGCTTCAGCACCTCCGTCTTCCTCTTTATCCCGGCTTGCAATCACTCAGCTATTGATAAACAAACGCCCAAAAACGCCGTGTGGCTTCTCCCCCAAATTCCATGTCCTCGCCCGATCCAAGAGGCCTCCAATTCACGCACCTGAACGCCCAGCGGCGGGCTTCTGTGGTCTATGGATCCGTCGGCAAACAGGGCCTTTTTGTGCCGAGCGACTTCATCTCGCCGGGTCACGTGGCTCCGGATCCAGAGGCCCCCTTTGACGCTGCGTCCGCCGACGAGAGCACGTCCTTGCTAGCTGCCGACGAAGGCGCGTTCTACCGCCGCAAACTGGCCGTTCTGGCCGAGCTTATCGAGCAGGAACGCGAGCTTTTGCAGGCCAGCAATCTCCCCACCGGCAGCGACGACGCGGCGGTGGCCGCCAACTTCGAGGAGGCCGTTTTCGCGCACAAAATCCACGAAACGACCAAGTATTTGGAGATGGTGCTGCTCGTGCGGCTGTCGGTGCCGTTGATCGTCACGTTTCTCTTGCAGAACTCGCTCTCGACCGTGTCTGTGTTCAGTGTGGGCCACCTAGGCGCCGTGGAGCTCGCCGCGGTGTCGATGGGGTCCATGACCGCCAATATCACGGGCTACGCCACGATCCAGGGAATCGCCACGGCCTTGGACACGCTCTGCCCGCAGGCGTTCGGTGCACAGAAGTACCACATGGTGGGCGACTACATGCAGAAGTGCATAGCGTTGATCTGCGTGGTCATGCTCCCGATGGTCGTGGTGTGGACGTTTTTCGGCTACGAGTTGATTGTGCTTTTGCTTCCGGACAAGAAGACCGCGCGCTTGGCCGCAGACTATTTGTTCTACATCGGGCCGGGTATGCCGGCGTACGTGATGTTCGAGTGCGGCAAGCGCTTCTTGCAGGCGCAAGGCGTGTATCACGTGTCCACGTATGTGTTGTTGTTTGCTGCGCCCACGAACCTCGTCATGAACTTGCTTTTCGTCAAGCACTTCGGCTACTTGGGCGCGCCCATCGCGGTGGCCATCAACTACTGGCTCATGTTCGCGGGCTTGCTTGTGATGACGGTGTTCTTCGTGTCCGCCGAGCAAACGCCGCAGATAATCCACCCGTTGCAGTGCTGGAACGGCTTCAGCTTCCAGAAAGCGTTTCTGGGCTGGAGCAAGTTGATCTACTTGGCGGTGCCCGGCTGGATCATGCTCGAGGCCGAGTTCTTGGCCTTTGAGATCTTGACCTTGATGGCCTCGTACATCGGCACCTTGGAGTTGGCCGCGCAGTCCGTGGGCTCCACCATGGCCTCCTTGACGTACCAGGTTCCGTTTGCCATTGGCATTGCGTCGTCCACGCGGATCGCCAACTACTTGGGCGCAGGCTTGGGCAGCTCGGCCCGAACGACCACGGTGGTGGCGTTGATGTTCGGGCTCTTCGTGTCCGTACTCAATTTCCTTGCCTTGTGCATCTTCCAAACGCAGATTGCTGCGTTGTTCACCAACGACGAGAACGTCATCGCCATCATCCACCAGATCATGTGGCTCGTGGCGCTCATGCAGATCTCGGACGCCATGAACGCGAACTCCGCGGGCTGTTTGCGCGGCCAGGGCCAGACCAAGATCGGCGGCATAGTCAACTTGGTCTCCTACTACCTCGTGGGCATCCCGTTGTCGGTGTACTTGTCGTTTTACTCGCCTTGGAAGGGCTCGCTCCACGGCTTGTGGATCGGCACCACCGTGGCCTTGACCATCATCGGCAGCGTCCAGAGCTACTACGCGTTGTTTGCTGATTTCGGCCAGTTGTGCGAGGACGCCCGGCTCCGCACGCTGGAGGTGCCCTTCCACTGAGACGAGGCTCCTCCCACTCGCTTTGAAGCATTCACACCTATTCATAATATACAACTGTCTAGAAGTCTCCTTAAAACGCCTCTTCCATAGTGGCTTCCTTGGCCTGCGGCGCATCCATTCTGGGCACTCCCGAGAGAAGCTCGCGGCGGATCTCGGGGCCGATGGCGTGATGGAACCTCTGTCTGACGGTTTCCAACAAGAAGTCTCTCTGGTCATCGGTGATGTCGTTCTTGTAGCGCTGGGCAAAGGCCAAGAAGGCCTTGTGCCACACCACAGGCAAATCCGTCATGCTGGCGTCGTTACCGTCGGACATCTCGGCCTGCGCCGCGTTTCTGAAGCGCATGAAGTAGAACACGAGCTCGTCCAAAGTTTGGTACGGCAACGCGTACTTCTTCTCGATCAAGACGCGGATGAACACCGTCGACGCCGGCCTGAACTCCCGCTGCACCAACTGAGCCAACGCGACGGACGAGTGCAACACAGGCACAGACACCTTGGCCAACACCGAGGCGACGATCGTGGCCTCTCTGACCGTGCAGTGCCCGTCGACCAAAGGGAGCAAGAAGCCCTTGAAAAACGCGCCAGGCTTGTAGAGGGATTTCTTGATGGCGCGGTAGAGATGGTAGTCTAGACTGTGGGTCTCGCTGTCCTCGATGGACACGCGGAACTTCTCCAACAAGACGTTCTCGACGAACTTCTGGGCCTGGTTGGCCTGCAAGTTCGACACGAAGAGCTTGGTGGCCTCGTAGGTGGCGTGCGAGCTCCAGCTCTGGGGGTTGGTCACGTACAACACGTCCTCCCAGTTCTTCAAGGTGGGCAAGACCTTGAACAACTTGGGGAGCTTGCCGTGCTTGTAGGTGGCCAAGATGGAGCCGATTTTCTCGTACGCGGCAATGACCTTGGGGGGCAACTTCACGGCGTTCTGCTGCTGCTCGCTGGCCGGCTGGTGGGGGCCCTTGCTCAGCTCCTTCTCCTGGATCTTGGCGAGGATCTTGTCGGCCAAGTTGACGGTCGGCGCGCCCGTGCCGAAGTACTTGTCGAAGAGCTCCTGGTCCTTCTCGTCGACCGCGATTTCCTCCTCCTCGTAGAACTCTCCCTCGAGGTCCGAGTACTCCTCGCTGTCGGAGTCGTCTTGGTCGTCCAACGCGGCGGAGGCGGCAAACACGGGCGCGGCGCTTTCTTCCACGACCATTTCCTCGCGGTCCATTTCCTCCTGCTGCTCCTTGGCGAGCTGCAAGATTTTTCTCGAGGTAGCCGCGTCGAGATAGCCCTCCTCGGGCAGCTCTCTGGCGGCCCGCTTGGCGCCGCGGGGCTGTTCGCGGAGCCGGCCGCCTGAGGACGTGATGTCTTTGTGCAACGGGTTGTGGCGGATTCTGTCCTTGGCGTCGGGTGCGGATTTTCCCATGGTGGCGGCGGGTCGGAGGTGTTTATTCGGTGGCCCTGCTGGAACCGGGCGTGGTTTTTCAGGGCCCGATGCGCCCCATCGCATGCCCCGGGGCCGCGGCGCGGCCTGCACCCAGCGGCGGCGCTCACGCGGGCCCGTACAGGATGTAGACGAACAACGACGAGTACTCCAACGTCTCGCCGCACAAGTCTTTGAGCGGGAGGTGCCTGTAGCCCTGCTTGAGGTCGAAGAGGTGGGTCACCAGCAAGGCGATTTCCTTCGGGCTCTCGACCGCGTGGCGCGCCGCGGACGTGTGGATTGTAAGCCGTAGGAACACGAGCTCGGTGGCCGCGCGGAGCCGGCCGGAGAAGCGCAGGTTCCACGTCGGGTTGAAGCCGTTGTCCGGCACCACGGGCGTGGCGCCGGGCGCCAGGTCGGGGGCCCAGTCGAGCGCGGCCGCGCCCACGAGCTCGACGGTGACGAACGGGCACACGGAGGCCGCGGCGGGCGGCTTCGGGAGCTGCTGGGCGCCGAGGACGTCGATGCGGAAGCGCACGTGCACGTCGGGCGGCGGGCGGCGCATGGACGCCTTCATGGGCGGGCGGCGGAGGGCGGGCGGCTTCAACACGTAGCCGCGGCCCGGCGCCGTGGCGAAGAACGCCTCGTTGAGCTGCTGGCCCAGGTCGTAGGTCTGCCAGTTGGTGGCCACCATCTGCACGCCGTGGGCCCAGTACGCGGGCGGCAGCAAGTTGGACGAGCGGAGGCGCGTCTTGGCGGGGTACACGCGCATCAAGAAGCGGCGGTTGTGCTTGTCGAGCGCCGCGGTCTTGGCGGGGTCGCGAAGCATGGCGTTGGCGGCGGTCTCGCTGAGCGAAAAGCAGTGGTTGTAGGTCTTCAGCTCCGGGAGCGAGAAGTTGCGGAACTTGAGGCCCTGGCAGTACACGGCCAAGTCGCTGAGGCGCGCGCAGACCTTGCCGGCGGGCCGGCGGCGGATTTTGAAGCGCGAGCCGGGCGCCCGCTCGCCGTCGCTGACGGAGGTATGGGTGGCGGACGACGTGTGGGTGGCGGACGACGTGGCGAAGCGCCCGTGCTCGTCCACGGCGCCCGCGAACGCGCTGGTTTTCTTGACCTTGACGAGCACGCGGTGGCGCAAGGCGGCCGGGCTCGGGAGCACGCCGCGCGAGTCGAGCGGCCGCAGCACCAAGGCGGCGCCGAACACGTCCTCCAAGATCTGCGCCACGAGCTCCTGCGCCCGGGGGCAGCAGTGCACCTCGAGGCTCAAGATGAGCGGGAACGGCGACGCCTGGAACGCGAAGCGGCGCACGGTGGCGAGCACGTTGGAGAGCAGGATGCCCGAGGTGAACGTGCGGCCGTGGTTGACGATGGGCTCCGCACCCGCGTCCGCCGGGTTGTTCCACACGTCGATCTCGAGGCACCGGCACCCGCGCTGGAGCGCCCGCACGTAGCCCTCCACGGACGAGCCGCCCGCCACCTGGCGGCCCGTGAGGTACGTGTTGTGCGACAGGAGAATGAAGTACTCGTTGAGCGGCTGCGCGTAGTAGTCCGCGCGCAAGTACTGCTGCCGGGACGCGGCGCACTGCGGCAGCTTGAGGTACGCGGCAAACGCGTCCACGGACCAGGCGGCGGCCGGCCCGGCGAACCGGCGGAACGTGGCGGCAAGCGCGTCCCGGTCCGGTGGCTCGTGCTGCGTGGCCGTGGCAAAGCGGCAGAACGCGTCGAGGCCCAAGGTGTGCCCGGCGCCCACGAGCCCGGCGTACACGCGGGCAATGTCGTCGCGCCGCGTGAGGAGCTCCACGAAGCGCTTGAAGTCGGCGAAGCCCATGTGCTGCGCCGGCGCCGGCGTCACGTGCGCGAAGAGCGCCTGGAGCCGGGCCTCGTGCACGTTGATGCCGAGCCGCTGGCAGTAGCGGAGCACCTCGGCGAACGTGAGCAGCTGCTTGGCGGCGCGGCCCGCGTGCTCGGCCTTGCCGCTGAGGAGGCTGCGCTTGACCGCGTCCAAGTCCTTGAGGTCCACGAGGAAGTCTGCGGCGAGCCGGTCTTTGATGCTCTTGAACTTGCCCACCGTGTGGAGGAGCCGCTTGGCGTCGTGCGCGGAGTCGGCCACGAGGTGCAAGAGCTTGGTTTTGTTCTTGCGGTGGTCGAAGAACGCGATGGACACCCAGCGCCGCTCCGCGTCCTTGGCGAAGCCGAGCTCCCGGCGGTAGTGGCTGGCGAGCTGCCGCGGCGTGATGCTGCGGATGTCGTCCACGTGGAAGCTGTGCGTCGAGTTCTTGGACACCTGCCGGTACACGAACTGGAAGCTGGCGGGCTCCACCCACAACCGGATTTTCTTCTTCAGCTTGGGCGACACCTTGAGCAACACAAGGCCCGGGCTGACGAGCGCCGCGGGCACGTCGAAGGGCTCCATGTGCTCGGGCGTGTCGGAGAGCGTTTCGTCGGGGGAGGCGCTGTTTTCGTGGGCGGCGTCGGTGGTTTTGTCGGGACCGGTGGTTTTGTCGGGACCGGCGTTGTTTTTGTTCAAACTGACATTGCTTTGGTCAGAACCGGCACCGTTCATGTCGAGTCCGGCGTTGTTCATGTCGAGTCCGGCGTTTTTCATGTCGAGTCCGGCGTCGGTTTTGTCCAAACCGGCCTTTTGTCGGCCAGAACCGGCATTGTTCTTGTTCAAACCACCATCGCCTTCATCCAAACCCGCACAGCTCTCATGCAAACCAGCACCGCTTTTGTTCAAGCCGGCGTGGTCCTGGTCAAAACCAGCGTTGTCCTCGTCCAAACCAGCGTTGATTTTGCCCGTCCCGGCATTCGTTCCGTCCAAACCAGCTCCGTTTCCATCCAAACCAGCTCCGTTCTCCAACCCAACCCCTTTCTCGTCCAAACCGGCACCGTTCTGGTCCGCCGGGCCCAGCGGTTCCAGACCGCCCAGTGCCCCGCCGCCGGGCGTGATTGCCGTGGCCGGGGCCGCCGCCAGCGACGCTCGAGGCCGCCGTTCGGCCTGTGTCTGGGCATGTAGGGCGAGCGCACCTATTCCACACGATATGCTTTCCGCTGCGTGCAGTTCCAAAACGGCCGTTTGTGCCGCCGCGGGCTTGTCGCCCGGGTTGCTGTGTGGGCCAGGCACATGTTCCATTGCTGTGGCGTGGATTTTGCCTTGCTACATGAAATTTCGTGCTTTTAGGCAGACGGTCCTGCAACTGGCGGCGATGGCAGGGCACGTCTGGTCTGATGCGCGCGCCATGAATCGCGGGGAATGGAGGGGGAGTTCCAGTGGGCGGATATATTTCTCCAGAATATTTCTCCAGTATATTTCTCCAGCGGGCGGGTATAATTAAGCTGATGGAAATAATAGCTAGCTTGCCAGACATGTATATTTTTTGGCTCAGACGGCTTACTATACAAAGTGGCTTGTCGGTGTAGAATTGCGCAGATGGTTTAGTGCGATGGCTGATTAATTAGCTGCTTGGTGTGCTAAGATGGTCTGCTGGGACGGCCCATATCTCAGACGGCTTGTATACCAAGACGAAATATACAGATGTTTTATTCCACTTGCGTTTCCTTTACATCTTCATGTTTCAGATTGACGACCCGCCTTTTTATCTTCTTTCAAAATAAGTCATCGCTTGCAAGCCCAGAAGGTATGCTGAGATTTCCCTTTTTATTTTTTTGGTTTGTGTGCTGAGATAGTTAGTTGTGGAGCTGGTAATTGAGGTTGCGGGGTGGGGCCATGGGATGTTGGAATAAGAAATATTCCTAATAGCTTGAAAGACTCACCAGTGGAGCGCGTTCTCGTCCGAAATGGCAATTCTTCATTGTTGATGAATGAGGCATGCACCCGAGTATGCCATCAAGAGAATTTGCTGCAGATGGGCTTGATAGACATGTAATTTCTGAGAGAATAATATCCGTCACTCCAGCATGTAATCAATTGGCCTGCCTAAACATTTGGAAATTCCCCAGGCTTACATATACTGGCCTCCATTCATAGACACTTTCGGTGTGCTACAGCCACCGTCCAGAGCCACAATGCAAGATCTGAAACACATTTCCAAACACTTTGGTCAACCCAGTAGTTACCAGCTCCAGATGATTCCATAATTGTAGAGAGTATTGGAAAAGCATACAAATATTGATATTCATAACGAAACTGCTCAAAGTGGAAAGAAAGCCTTGTCGCTTCCTCGATGCATTTCCCATATTGGACAATATTCTGTTGTTCTCAAAAAATCCGGAATGAACTATTCTCCCTTATCTGCCGGTCTTAACAGCCCCCAGAAATCCTATTGCTGACATAAAAACTGACCACTTGCCACTAGTCGAATATGCTCTGCCATCCAGGATCTCAAGAAGGAACACAGCGATAAAATGGCTGCATGATTGTACTCGAAATCAAACCAAATGTTTGTTGGACTGTATAAGGATGCTTTCGGTGAGTATACAAAGCTATCTTTCATGCAAAGAAGCTACTTTGTTTCAGAAGAAATGAAGAGCTTCGTACTTCAACTTGAAGCTCATCTGTCTAGAAAAATTAGCAATATTTTCGACACCAGGTGACAGCTAGTAGCACAACATCCAAAAGAGGAAAGGAGACTAATCCGGACTCCATTTTATGTAAGAAGTTTACATATGTGTAAGTGTCGCTGATGATAAGCAGTAAGCTGCTAAAAGAACAAGCTGCGAATAATTGGGTTCATGCTCAAAACTGTTTCTTAGATGCCAGATGTGGCTTGCTTTCGTATGGTGGCCAAACGTCGTAGCCCCTACAAGAATTGCGCTTAAGCTTGATAAGTGAGTCGCCTCTTAGGTATGTTGAGACCTTGCAAGTATCAAAATGAGTCTATTTTCTTCAGTCGCTGATTTTGAATTTTTATTCCATAATCGGTCTCTATCGCTGGCTCGACATCAATGATATTGAGCGCATATGGGGATTGGTCGCAAGCCTTTGGTATTATTTTGTTAGCAGTGTTATTGAGGCAGAATGTCTGGGATTGAGTTCATTGAAAGCATTCTGTAGCTACCTGAAACAAGAGCCGCGATAAACTAAATAGTCATGGCGAAACAATTCCTCCGCACAGTCATGAATGCAAAGATCGCATACTATTGAGTAAATTGGACATATTAATTCCCAAAAAGCCCTGTTGGATTCAACAATTGGAGTTTTTGAGGAATCAATAGCCCTGAATTCAAAGATTCACCAATTTATGTTTGTTGCATTTATAGATATTTATGGTTTTCTAGTTTGACCTATGGAATGATCTGTTACTTTACGTTTTTGCAAATTATCGACGCAATATTATGGATGCGCAACCACTTTCAGACGGAGAGCTCGTGGGTGCAAAGTTTGATAACTTCTGACGAGAAGTTCTGTTCCCGCAAATCAAACACACAAATTCGATTGTCCACATAAACTTCGAATCAAGAATTCTGGATCAGCTTTTATTTGGACAGGTTACTTCATACACTTCGGCCATGATCGTATATATTGCAAATTATAACGAAGATTGTAAGCTTAATCAAAAGAACAAAAAAAGATTCTCTCTCATAGAAAGACTAAGTAATGATGCGACTAATTAATTGAGAAATTTGCAGGTTGAAAGAATTAATAGAATTCAACGAATATGTGATAACCTTGTGAAAACACCTTGCAGATATTGCAGTTTTAGACGCAAAAAGCTTGAAACTAAGCATATATGAAAAACAATATTACTGGATGCGAACATCAATACAGAAAAAGTTGTGTTGAATATGAAAGCTCAAGATAGTAATTGGAAGAATATATAATTTAAATGAGCGTAAGAATTCATGTAGATATTTGGAGAATGAAGAAGCTATCTTGAACCATAGACTCCACGTTAATACTCGTCAGTGAAATCCTGCAGAAATGCGTTTGTTCAAATAAAGTTTGAACGTGTGAAAATTGTATTGAAAAATATACTGAGGCCCTGTTTCTAAGACTGAGGCTCGTTTAGCGTTTAAAGGAAATTCTTCATTTTCAGGTTTTCAATCCTCTCCTCTCATAAACCAAGTCCGTCTTTGGGCTTTGAGACCAACATATAAGTCGACTGAACTTTAAATTAGTGTTATTACCCCAGAAACATACTAAATAATTTCCCAGAATAGAGCTAATTCTGAAGATAATAGACTGCTGAGATTTATCTTTTAGTCGCATGTCAAGTATTTAAGCTTCCGAACCAGATTCGCATACATCGTGAGACTGATCTTTTTGGTTACGTAAAACTCTTTTCTCCTCACAGAAGAGACAATTTGACTTGAGAACAGAACGACACATAAGAAAATTGATTTATGTGACCAAGGCTCATTACTTGCTTTCGTGAAGATAGCTTTTTTTAGAATCTGCTGTCTATCTTATCCTAGAATTATGGAGAATAATCACGCAAGCTATTGCTTTAGAAGCAGAATACTGTTCGACAGTAAAAAAACAGCAATAAATATTTATAAATGTGGCTCACAGTAGTACTCGACATATCTCAGTCTGGTTTGGTAATTAACCATCCAGAGAAAACATCTTTTGCACGCAAATCGGAGAAAAAAGAAGATGCACTATCTCTGTAAAGTATTTGAGGTGTGTCAAAGAAAAAATATGAAAGGCTGCAGTGATTTCTATGCCATACGAGGTTTGAATTTACAGATGACTGGAGGCAAAAAGGGTCTTAGAAGGAAATTCTGTTTTCCCGTACAAGTGCAAGATCCGGGAAGTATTGCACCCAATTATTGCTGGAACCTCGACCTTAAAAGAAGCTTCAAAACTGAGCTTCGATTATGCGGTATTTCGGTTCAGAGATGAAAGGCTCGTTAATTCCAAAGATAGTCTGTACACGGTAAAGCACAGACAAAGCAGTTTATCTCTTAATGGGAGGTCAAAACAAGGCTTGGTGCATTCAAAACTGTGAATGTCTGCCATTATACGAGAGCGATTTCCTTAAAAGAAAGTGAAATTTTTTCTACTATGAGGCTATTACTAATTGTTGTGAATTCGCCTAGACTCAGCGTTTCTATCCTCAAAATACTTCGACTAGGGCGCTGACAGATACTTGACAAAAGGTGATGCAGTGTGGCTGTTGAATTCCTTTGCATGTTGCTTGTAACAGAGCGGGGCACGTAAGGACCATTGTGGAGTCCCAAACTGAAGCAAATGCAGAGGTCGGACTAAAAATGGGGAAAACCAAAAAGCCAAATTCTGGCTTCTTTTGGCTGGGCTGCACACTTCGGGCTTCACCATCAAACACAACAAGACCTTGCTCTAAGAAGTGAATTTGGTGAATAGAGCGTTTGCTGTTTAAATGGCCCAAGTTTGTCAACCGTGAAGGTCTCAAGAAATCTCACGAGCACATGTTCCTGCCAGATGGGTGACAGTTTGTTCATGTACGGGAAGCGCAAAGTTCTGGGAACACACGGTTCAGCTCTTTTCTCAAGCTGGAGAATATTGGGGAAGAAGCCCGTCCGCTGTTCGAGGTGATCTCAGTCAATGAAGACATTTCAAAAGGTGCACCAACAGATCACATGGACTCAGTCAATGTGACTGTTCACCGGAGCAGGCCAGAACAAGCCCGGGCAAGACCCCAGCCAAAGCACCCAGCCAGACACGCCCCTTCCCCGTGCCCTCTTCCACGCCCCAGCGGCAGCGTCGTGGCCAAGAACACCGCCAAACAAGCGGTCTACAAAGCAAGCCTCCCATTCGGTCCCTTGTCGTCTATAAATACCCGGGCGCACATCAAAGGTCCACGCCCACATCCAAGCGCACGTTCATGCCCTGGTCACGCAAATACAGCTTAACGGCATTCACCTCGTACTCGCCGCGGTGGAACATGCCCGCGCCAAGCGCCGCGTCGATGCCGCAGTCCATCTCAAACACCTCCTGGAAGTGCTCGGGCTTGCCGGCGCCCGAGGACGCAATCACCGGGATGGACACGTTCAGCTTGACCTGCCGCAAGAGCTCGAGGTTGTAGCCGTTGTTGGAGCCGTCGTAGTCAATCAGATTCAACAAGATCTCACCCGCCCCCAAGTCCTCGCAGGCCTGGCAGAGCTCGAGCGCGCCCAAGTCGTGGAACCGGCGGCCGCCCTGGCTGCTCACCTGGTAGTAGCAGTACTTCTCGCCGTTGGGCCCGTAGTTGGCCGGGTCGGAGATGGCAAGCACGGCCATGCGCGTCGCGTCCGGCGACGCCACGTACACGCGCTTCGGGTCGACGGAAATCACCACGGCCTGGTTGCCGAAACACGCGGAGATGGTCTCGATGGCAGACGTGCCGGTCTTCTGCTTGCCGCTGGCGTAGTAGGCCTCGGCAATGGCCACGGCCTCGGAGCCGATGCTGACCTTGTCGGCGCCGGAGCGGAAGTACAAGTCCGCGACCTTCACGGCCGGGAACGCCTCGCCGGTGGTCGGGTCCGTCATGTCCTTGATGCCGCCGCCCACGGTGAGCGGCACGAAGATGTTCTCCGCCGCCTTGCGCAACACCTCGAGCATGGGCAAGTCGCGGATGGGCGAGTTGCGGAACGACGTGATGTTGAGGAACGTGACCTCGTCCGCGCCCTGGCGGTAGTAGCGCGTGGCCAACTCCACGGGCTTGCCGAGGTTGCGCACCAGGCCCTCGCCGTCGCCGCCCGCCTCGCGCACGTTGTACTGGTCGCCCTTGGTGACCACCAAGTCGCCGTTGTCATTGGCACGCACGTCCAAGCACGCGATGATGCGGCGCGAGAGCCCCGCGTCGCGCGTGTTGGTGGCCCGCGCGTCGCCGGCGGCTATGCGCTCGTTTTGCAAGAACGCCCGGAGCACGCGGAGCCCGGCCACGCCGGATTTCTCCGGGTGGAACTGCGTGGCAAAGAGCCCCTTGTGGGCCACGGCCGCCACGAACTCCTCGGCGCCGTACTGGGCCACGCAGAAGTCCCAGCCGTGTTCTTGTGCGTGTGCCATGGCCGCGCGGTCCTGCTGGGTCCGGAGAATGGCCGCGTACGAGTGCACGAAGTAGTACTTGTCCTGCTGCGAGATGCCGTAGAACCGGTCCAGGGGCGCCAAGGCACGCGTGCCTGCAAACGCGGTGTTGACGGAGTTCCAGCCAATGTGCGGCACGGCCTTCACCTGGCGCTTGTGCACAAACAGCGGGTCGTTCTTGTCGAACTTGTGGAGGTCCCAGTCGAGGAGCTCCAACCCGGCCACGGCCGGGCTCTCCTCGGACGAGCGGAAAAACGCCTGGAGGCCCACGCAGATGCCCATGATGCGCCGGCCGCTGTCGATGTATTTGCGGATGGGCTCGGCAAGATGGCGCTCGTTGATCTGCCGGACAAAATGGCCATAGTTGCCGACGCCGGGGAAGACCAAGCGCGAAATGTCGGCGTTGGCCCGGTCGAAGTCCGCCGCGTCGCGGATGTACGCAATGTCGTAGTCGCCCACGTGCTTGATGGCGTTGGTGAGCGACTGTAGGTTGCCGCTTTTGACGTCGATGATGTGCACTAGTTGAGGCATGTTGAGTTGGTTGAAGACGGCTGCGAAGATATGGCCTGTGCTTTATATCGCGAAAATCTGCCGTGGGCAAGCGCGGGCAGATGACTCAAGCGGCGCGTGTGTGCAGGAGCCGCCCCATCTCGACTGGTCGCGGCACGTGCGCCGCGTCACGTGCCGCGCTGCCATTGCCGGGCGTTGGGGCGGTGGGCCGCCGGCGTTGGCCGTTTTCGGGCAATCTTGCCTAATGCTGGCCCTTTTCGGGAAATCTTGCCTAATGCTGGCCGCCTTGGGTGTGCGTGTGGTCTATGTGCAATATGTATAGTGCCGCGCGTAGCCCTCGGCTCCACTGATGGTGATGACTGATGGTGATGATTGTTGGTAATGACTGTAAGAACTGTTATTAAAAACTGTTGTAATGACTGTTGGTACAAACTGTTAAAACAGCGGGTAATAAATGATGGTAATGCCTGATGGTAATAACTGTTGGTATTGACTGTTGGTAAGTATTTGCTGGAGATTGACTGTTGTTAATGACTGTTCGTACTAATTCTTGGTAATAACTGTTGGTAACATGTGTTGGAGATGACTGATGCTAATAATTTAACGTAAAAATTGATGGTAATAATCATTGGTAATGATTGTTGATATTAACTGTTGATATTAATTGTTGATAATAACTGTTGGTAATGACTGTTGGTAACTGATGGTGATGACTGTTGGTCCCTGTTTGCTGGTAATCCGGTAAGCGTTTGCTGGAGATTGACTGATGGTAATAAGTGCTGGTGATTGACTGATGGTAATAAGTGCTGGTGATTGACTGATGGTAATAATTGTTAGTAGTGACTAATGGTAATAGCTGTTGCTAAGTGTTTGATGGTAGAGACTGGTGCTAATAATTTTTGGTGGTTACTGTTGATAAGTATTTGCTGGAAATTCACTGCTGGTAACGATTGTTGGTTATGACTGTTGGTTAGTGCTTGCTGGAAATTCACTGCGGGTAATAATGGTTGGTGATGACCGTTGGTAATAACTGCTGGTAATAACTGTTGGTAAGTATTTGATGGGTAATAGTTGTTAGTGATAACTGTTGGTGATAACTCTGATAGTGATCACTGATGGTAATGACTGTTGGTGACGATTGATCGTAAAAATTGGTGGTGATAAGTGATGGTAATAACTGTTGGTAATAATTGTTGGTGACGATTGATCGTAAAAATTGGTGGTGATAACTGGTGGTAATGACTGTTGGTAATAATTGTTGGTAATGACTGTTGGTAATGACTGTTGGTAATGACTAATGATAATAACTGTTAATAATAACGGTTATTAGAAACTGTTGGTGTTGACTGATGGTGACGATTGATCGTAAAAT